GTTTATTAATTTGCTCTTTCTAATATCTTCACCCCCGTCCCCTCCCTCCTCCTATCTAGCAACCAACAGTTTTTTTCCCCTATATCTCTTGAGTCTGTTTCTGTTTGGTTTGCTCATTTAATCTATTCTTTATATTCTACATATAAGTGAGACCACATGATGTTTGTCTTTCTCCGACTGATTTATTTCACTTAGTATAATATTCTCGAGGTCCATTGATATTGTTGCAAATGGTAAGATTTCATTCCTTTTTATAGCCGAGTAATACTCCATTGTATAAATGTACCACAGTTTCTTTATCCAATTGTCTATTGATGGGCATTTCGGTTGTTTCCATATCTTGGCTATTGTGAATAGCACTGTAGTAAACATAGGGGTGCATATATTTTTTCAATTAGTGTTTTGGATTTTTTTGGATAGATACCCAGAAATGGAATTGCTGGGGTTATAAGGCAGTTCCATTTTCAATTTTTTGAGGTACTTCCATGCTGTTGTCCATAGTGGCTGCACCAATCTGCAATCCCAGCAGCAGTGCATGAGGGTTCCCTTTTCTCCACATCCTCGCCAACACTTGTTATTTGTTGATTTATTGATGATTGCCATTCTGACAGGAGTGAGGGGGTATCTTGTGGTTTTTATTTGCATTTCTCTAATGATTAGTGACATTGAGCATTTTTTCATAAGTCTATTGGTCATCTGTATGTCCTCTTTTTTTTTTTCTTTTTTTCTTTTAGCTGAGCCATCCTGCCACCTGTTAGCAGCTCAGCGGCAGCTCAGCTCTGGCCGGGAATCGAATCGCTGTTGCTCAGAGCTTGTACTCTTGAGTGAGCTCTTAACCAACTGAGCCACTCGGCTGGCCCTTGTATGTCCTCTTTAGAAAAATGTATCTTCATGTCCTCTGCCCATTTTTTTTTTTTAAGATTTTTATTGGGGAATTGAGGGGATGGGAACAGTGCTGGGGAATTGGGGGAAGGGAAACAGACAAGTTGCTGTCGTTTTGTTCTTGTTCTTCAGTCTAGTTGTGGAGGACGTTGCTTCACTGGCCCAAGTTGGCACCATCATTGCGGTCTTCCCAGCTGAGGCAGATCAGTTGCCGGCTTCTGGACGGCTGCTCACTGCGGCTGCTGGCTACACACGGTAGCCCATGGCAACCCACTGCCACGGGCTGCAGCCTACGCCGTCGCCAGCGACTCAAGGCAGCCCAGCTCAGGGTCGAGCTGTTGTTCAGCATCTTAGCTGCGGAGGGCAGCGTCACTGGCCCTTATATGTGGGATCCAAACCGGGGCCCTCTGGCGTCCCAAGTCAGTTCTTAACCATCGTGCCACTCAGCCGGACCCCATTTTTTAATAGGGTTGTTTTTTTGGTATTGAGTTGTATGAGTTTTTTTATAAATTTTGGATATTAACCCCTTATCAGATGTATCATTGGCAAATATCTTCTCCCACTAAGTAGGATGCCTTTTTGTTTTATTGGTGGTTTACTTTGCTGTGAAAAAGCTTTTTAGTTTGATGTAGTCCCACATGTTTATTTTTTTCTTTTGCTTCCTTTGCTCGAGGAGATATATCAGTAAAAATATTACTAAGGGTAATGTCTGCGAATTTACTTCCATTATTTTCTTCTAGGAGTTTTATGATTTCAGATCTTACATTTAAGTCTTTAATCCATTTTGAATTAATTCTTATATATGGCATAAGAAGGTGGTCCAGTTTCATTTTTTTGCATGTATCTGTCCAGTTTTCCCAGCAACATTAATTAAACAGACTGTCTTTACCCCAATGTAAATTCTTGCTTCCTTTGTTATAGATTAAATGACCATATAGGCATGGATTTACTTCTGGGTTCTCTATTCTGTTCCATTGATCTATGTGTCTGTTTTTATGCCAGTACCATGCTGTTTTGATTACTATATCCTTGTATTGGGCTATCAGAAAAGTCATGACGCATTTTTGCAACGAAAAACAGAAAAAATATGTCATGACTTTTCTGACAATGCAATAGTATGATTTGATATCAGGTAGCATGACACTTCCCATTTTGCTCTTATTTCTCAATATTGCCATGGCTATTCAGGGTCTTTTATGATTCCATATAAATTTTAGGATTTTTTCTAGTTTCGTGAAAAATGTCATTGGTAATTTGATAGGGATTGTGTTGAATTTATATATTGCCTTAGGTAGTATGGACTATACACATTTTAAGAAAGGAAAAAACTGTATTGAAATTGTAATACTCAATATATACCGATAACAAAAGATGAATACAAATCATGGGTATACATTTTTTTGGCATCCCTGGTATATAAAGCAAACTTTCTAAATACCTTTCTAACATTTGACTAGGACTTCCCATTTTCAGAGTGCTTTGAAATGCATTGTCCCTGTGGCAGCATGGAAAGAAGTACAAGGTAAAATGGTACCATTTCATTCATAGTGAGCACAAGAGTGATCTGACCTGTACCCCTAGCCGTTCTAGAGAATGGGTTGGGATGGGGAAGAGCTAGTGGTGTCAGCATAGGCTCTGGAGCCAGGCTAAGATAGGTTCAAATCT